CCCGAGGTGGGAAAAAAAGGAACGCAGCATCCCTGTTTCCCCGCCGTTGGGATGGAATATGTTTGCAGCAAACACACACTCCTCATAAAGACACACACACACACCATTGCAGCTCTCTTCGTGGCATCTTGCCGCCCCGCTGTGCTGCGAGGCGGCTGACGAGGCGACGTGTCGCTCCCTCCCTGGGACCCCGCTGAAAAGTCAAGTCTAAATGACACGTTGAGATGAGGACAAGGAGATGAGGACAAGGAGATGAAAGACACGGAGTCAAAGAGCGCCGACGGGCACATGGGGTGACATTTCCAAACACCCATGGGAGATGGAGGGGTTGTCTGGTGCCGATACGTCTTCCTCACCTTCGCCTAATTTACTTGCCTTTCTGTTTTCACCCTTTTTCCCTCGAACACCATTTTTAACTCTGATGTTATGATCATTTTGAGTGTTTTATCATATCAATGCTCTTGTTCTCAAATAACAGTTTGTATAGTAGCCAACATCCGGTCATCTTTGGCAAAGGAGGGATAATGTTGATATGATTATATGTGGTTCAAAATATCAGCATAATTACAAAAAACTATGAGTGGAAATGGATCTGAATCACGGAGACAGTAAACATTTAAAAACAGTTTTTTTAAAGACATAAGGTGATCTAACTCTTACCCTGCTGCGTTAAAGTGGTTTGGAAATAATTGGAAATATGCGTTTCTGACTGTTCAAATATTAGAGAACATCCCCTCAAGTCGTAACAACTAGGAAACGGCTTTTAATTGTTGTTTGAGTGCTCTTGGCTAAATAATACAATACTACTCTTTAAAGGTCCCATGCCATGCTTTTCCGGTTATCACCCGTCCCCTTGTTGTTATGAAGGTTGTTCTGCATGTGAACAGTCTGCAGAGTCACAAACCCTCAAAGTACACCCTGTAGCGAGTAAAACTTTAACACAGAGAAGACCTGTCTGCTGCCCCAGAACGCCTCGTTGGACATTTCCATTGTTTACTTCTTGGGTATAGTGACGTAACGGCTCCGCGGATTGGTTCTTTTGGACCAATCCGCGGAGCCGTTACGTCACTATACCCGAAAAAACAAGCCGTTCCATTTGGACCAATCAGCGGACTTCCTCACACACACACACACACCCATCGTCGGGACACTGTGAGCTGGCTCACTGGTGTGGGGTCGGCGAGACACCGAGGAACTCAACCTGGGCACACACACAAACTCCCAGCCAGGCTGCGGGTGTGTGTGTGTTCGGGCTGGGTTTCGCTGTGTCTCGCTGTCTCGCAGACGGCCACTGGGCTCACAGGGAGGGAGCCAACAAGCCGTTTAGGACAGAGAGTGAATACACAGACTATACAGAGATGCTGTGAGAAACCAATGTGAGTTTGGAACATTGAACAATATACATTTCTTCTAGTAGACGTCAGCAATGGAATTATGATCAGTAGAAATGGCCATGGGACCTTTGGACCTTTAAGATACTACACAACTTCTTTGTAGCATCCGCCTTGTTTCCACATTAAGACTTAAAGCTCGTGAGCACACCATGAGCAAGTGAATGCACAACAACGTCTACACTCTCTATTCCTAGTTAGAGATGTTTGAGTACAGACAAGAGTAGGGCTGCATCTACAGTTAATCAAATATGTGTTAAAATACAATTTGTATTGAAGTATTGTGGAGCTGGTGTACAAATAGTATTGTACAGACTTGTTTGGTGCAGATCCTCTTGAAAATGTCACACATTTTAACATGTTTTTCAATGATAATGAGGGTTCCTCATCAATTCCTGCTTGACGTTAATTGCCATATCGGTCAAAAACAATCGCATTTAGTTATTTCTCCAAATGGTGCGTCCCCGATCTCTTTAAATCTTCTTTAGGAGTCAGCAAAGACGAGTTAGATTTGTGTTGGATTTCTGCATAGAGCTGGTTTTGTTATTTTATGTTCAGATTAGATATGCCTCTTCACATTTTCCTTCAGGGTTCCCGCTGATCCTTAATAAGTCTTAAGAGTTATTTCATCTACAAATATCGACTTAATTAATTCAAGAAGTCATATGCACATAAGCTACAGTGTGTAATGAGTTAACATATCTTAAACCATTCTTTAAAACCACATAAAAAAGGAAAATATATATACATTTTTCTACCTGAAACCCCCAAACTATCTGAGAAATCTTTAAAACACTAAAGAGTTAGTCTTAAATGTATTTCTGAGAGGCATTTAAAAGTAAAAAAACTCTTATTTTAAGTAGTCACCCTGTTTATAACCACCAACAGACCTTTTCTTGTACTTCTCTTAGTAATGCTTTAATATTCTCACTCACACGCCACCTGGATTTGCACTTAGAACACTGAATTGTTACGACACTTTCAAAGACCAGTAGGACATTTTGTTTGCAGGATTGACTGTCGGTGAAGTTGTGGTTCATTTCATGGTCACATCTCACCCCCTACAATAGTCCGATCTCTCCACTTGTTGTGAGGTCGACCTTTAGCACCCCCCCCCCCCCCCCCCCCGACCTTCAGGTACAGGCAGCGGGTTAATTATCGCGCTGTGAGGTTAGAATAGGAGCCTAATCAGAGGGCTGCAGTCATCAGATAAGCCCTGAACACATCTCGGTGTCACAGCACCTCGCCCCTTCAGCCCAGGTGTTAGATTGGCCCGCTGTAACACAACCCCTCCAGTGATTAGCTCACATAAGCTAAGAGAAAAACACAGGTCATCCTGCAGTAACTCCATCAGCTCCGAGGTGGGTGGCGCTGCATTATTCCTCCGCTTCTACACAATGGCTGTCATGCAGCGCAGGTAAATGTTTCTCTGCTCGACACCATCAGATACCTTCCTGTTTGACCTTTGGCACGGCTGAAATGAGTCATTATTAGCCATCAAAAACGCACCTCTCAATCTCCACACACACACACACACACACACACACACACACACACACACACACACACACACAGCATTTCTCATAAACCAAACTTGACCAAAACTCCTTAATGCTCAAATTGAAGGGATTTGAAGGACTTTTTTACTGACTTATGTTGAGGGAAAGACAAGATATATACACACACACACACACACACACACACACACACACACACACACACACACACAGTCTCTCTGTCCTGTAGCCTTCATCAGTTTGTTCTGGATTGGAGCCCTCTCTTTAAGAAAACAAACGCGACGGCCCTCTCAGGGAAACGAGGCTCTCGCTGCTCAGATTACTGCCCAGACTCTTTTTAAACATGGTGTTAGAATAATACACACTCTCTTACAAACACACAGTGAACTCAGCAGTAACACTGTTCTCCAGTCAGTGCATACATGGTGAGACGATCACTGATGTAGAAGGACTCAGGCCTTGTCCAAACTAATACAGAGTTAAACTGGAGATTTGAAAACCTACTTAACGGTGCGGCATTACCCTGCAGAGTATAACGGTGGGTTTTGTTGTGTTTCTATTTTGCGGAGCCTTTTTGTTCCATTCTCTCATCATGGTGTTTGAAAAAGCAGCTCAGTGTGGAAGGCCAGAACATGCGAGGCGTTAAGAAGCGAGAAAACAGCGGATGGATTAGTCCATTGGCTGGATTAGTCCATTGGCTGGATTAGTCCATTGGCTGGAAAGTACCGACAAATTAAATGAGTGTTTTTCTTGTTGTTTTTAAACACCCACACATTTGCTCGTACCGTCTCCTCAAATGTGTGTATTTTAAATTGTTGAAAAAGTTATACAATGATTTCAAAGATGACTTTACATAAATGAATGAATTTGAAGATTATAATTTGGGATATGGGAAGTTTTGATGGCCATTTTCTCTAATATTGTTTTGATTGAATGATTAATCAGTTAATTGAAATAATTAGATTTCAGATTCTTAATTATTTTTGCAACTTTTTTTCCCCCTTTTATTTAGTTTGATAATTATTTTAGAATTATCATTTATTGTGTTTAGACTTAGACATACTTTATTGTCATTTCAACAAGACACAGAGTGTACTATTAAAACGAAATGTTGTTGTACTGGCTTACAGGAACAGGACCATATAAAAACTTGCTAAAATTGTACATATAAATAAATAATAGTGACGTGGTGCTGATAAAATTAAAGATAAAGTGTGTGTTTCAAATATAAAGACTTACTATACATATAAATAAAATGGACATACTATATAGAAAATATGTGCGCTATTTTGTTTCATAATTATTATTTATTTATTTATTGTATTTAATATTATTTTTAAATCTTATTTACCTAACTTTTTGATTATTTTATTGTATTTATTTTCTTTCTTATTTGACCTTAGAATCATGTATGTCATTCAAGTACACATGCTGCTAACACCTCTGACTTTGTTACTATCATTTGCCAAATTGGTTTCTTCGCACTTTTGCGGCTTTCACACCAGCGCTTTTCCCTTTCTAGCTCCGAGCTTTTCTGGTTCAGCTCCGGTTTCCCTTTGCTGCTCCCGCTCTGTTCACACCGCCCAGAGCTGCCGCTGCTGCGTCATGACGTCACCGTTTACGTGCCTGCTTCATAAAATCCAAACCGCGCGGAAATCCCTCACATCGACAACAACAACAATGGCCGATTGTATTGAAGCGCTGTTCGCTTTGGTTATCCTCTTACGAAACGAAATGGAAGGCATCGGACGACTTTACAAGGGACGACTTTACTTTGAACTTTACAAACATCACATGCGAAATGCAAGACTTCTTTGTGGTCTTCAGCATCTACTTCAACCCGCTCAGCGTAAGAGAGACGTAAGCGACGCCACCTCTTAGCTCCAAAGCTCTTGCCTCTAGACCGACAATTTTTTGGAGCTGGAAGTGAACCGGATTCCGGAGCTAAGAGGCGGTGTGAACAGGAAAAACCGGTATTTTCCAGGCTCCAACTCCGAGCCGGAGCTGAAAACGCGTTGGTGTGAAAGGGGCATTAGAGACCGCAAATCTGTATTATTATCATAATAATGAATATGTCTTGGTCCCTCCTCAGATCACTCAGCTGGACCCTGGTGCAGACCTGCTGGAGGCCAAGCTGTTCCCCCAGGAGACGCTCTTCCTGGAGGCTAAAGAGTAGCAGCGAGTCCTCAGAGCGCTGAGAGGACCGACTGATGAACTGACCGACTGACACACACTAGTCACCGAGCATGGGCCCCACCAGTCCGGGCCTACACACACACACACACACACACACACACACACACAACACACACAAAACAACACACACACACAACAATCCTCTCAGACGTACATAAGTGCAAGTAAGCTTCTCTGCCCGCTCGGCCTGGTCGTGGCACCTGAACGCCTCGTGCTGCACAGAGGAGCAAAGACAGTATCACAAGCACACAGCCAAACATTCACCTCCCCAAAATCTCTCTCCATCTCTCTCTCTCTCTCCATCTCTCTCTCTCTCTCCCTCCATCTCTCTCTCTCTCCATCTCTCTCCCTCTCTCTCTCCATCTCTCTCTCTCTCCATCTCTCTCTCCATCTCTCTCCCTCTCTCTCTCCATCTCTCTCTCTCTCCATCTCTCTCTCTCTCTCCATCTCTCTCTCCCTCTCTCTCTACATCTCTCTCTACATCTCTCTCTCTCCCTCCATCTCTCTCCATCTCTCTCCTCCCCTCCATCTCTCTCTCTCTCCTCCCTCCATCTCTCTCTCTCTCTCCATCTCTCCCTCTCTCCCTCCATCTCTCTCTCTCCATCTCTCTCCCTCTCTCTCTCCATCTCTCTCCCTCCATCTCTCTCTCTCTCTACATCTCTCTCTCTCTCTCTCCATCTCTCTCTCTCTCTCTCTCCCTCTCACACCCTCACACCTCTCACACTCATCACGACTTCACGTTCCTAACTGCTGAGTCATGGTTTCCTCTCACAACACAGTACGATAACAGCATTGAGAGACTGAGAATCGTTGTCTGTCACGGGACAAAACAAAAAAAAACAAAATAAAAAAGAACATTGAACTCGTTCCCCTTGTTTCCACATCCAACACACCGAGGCTGCTTTTTTAGAAAATGTTTTTTTTTTTGTGTTTGGATTCTAAAAAAAATGAATAAAATGGCGAGAAGTGATGTTGCCGGGCAGAATTCGGGGCTGTTGCATCTCCACCTGTATCTCCTCCCTTAACCTTTCCCCCCTCCCCCCCCCTGTCCCCGGTTTGACATCCACCGCAGGCCAATGGATTGATCAGTTTTCTTCTTTTATTTTTTCTCTTGATCCTTTTTAAGTTTGATGCTGTATTAGTTTTAGTTTGATATACATTATATAAAATATATGAATATGAACATCAATTCGTCTCGAGCTTAAATCTTTTGACCCACCCCTGTTCTTTCTTTGCCTGTTCAAATTGTTCAGAGGTGGAAGAAGTACTCAGCACTTGTACTTGAGTAAAAGTAGAAGTACTCAGATCTTGTACTTGAGTAAAAGTAGAAGTACTCAGAACTTGTACTTGAGTAAAAGTAGAAGTACTCAGATCTTGTACTTGAGTAAAAGTAGAAGTACTCAGATCTTGTACTTGAGTAAAAGGAGAAGTACTCAGATCTTGTACTTGAGTAAAAGTAGAAGTACTCAGATCTTGTACTTGAGTAAAAGTAGAAGTACTCAGATCTTGTACTTGAGTAAAAGGAGAAGTACTCAGATCTTGTACTTGAGTAAAAGTAGAAGTACTCAGATCTTGTACTTGAGTAAAAGGAGAAGTACTCATATCTTGTACTTGAGTAAAAGTAGAAGTACTCAGATCTTGTTTTTGAGTAAAAGTAGAAGGACTCAGATCTTGTACTTGAGTAAAGTAGAAGTACTCAGGTCTTGTACTTGAGTAAAGTAGAAGTACTCAGGTCTTGTACTTGAGTAAAGTAGAAGTACCAGAGTGTAGGAATACTCTGTTACAGTAAAAGTCCTGCATTCAAAAATGTTCCTCAAGTGAAAGTAGAAAAGTATTCTCATCAAAATATAGTGAAAGTAACGACAGTAAAAGTAGTCGTGCAGATTGGTCCATTTCAGAATAATATATATGATATGTTTTATAATGATTGATAATGAAAGTGTTCTCAAAGCTGGTGAAGGTGCAGCTAGTTTGAAGTACTTTGTATACTGCAGGGTAGCTGGTGGATTTACTCCAGGTGGAACTAAAGTCTGATTCAACACTTGATTATATTTCACATCATTCATCCAGATCTGTGAAGTAACTAAAGCTATTAAATACATGTAGTGGAGTAGAAGTACACCATGTACCTCTGAACTGTAGTGGAGTAGAAGTATAAAGTAGCATTAAATGAAAATTTTACTTAAGTTCAGTACTTGAGTAAATGTACTTTTTTACTTCCCACCTCTGGTTCAAACGATTTATTAATGTATTTTCTTTTCAAGTAATGCACTTGTTTTTTAATGGAGGGCATATACAATCTTTATGATAGGGGGTCCAGATTAGATGGAAGATTCCATCAAACTTGTAAATCAATATCTTTTGGACATTCCTCTGCCAGGTGTCGGGGGATGAACGCAGTGGTTTTGACTTTTCATCAAATCTGAGGTTTTTTGATTAGTAACAAAATCTTTCTCCACACACTTTGAGAGTCTTTTGCTTTAAAGTCTGACTCAGTAAATCATCAAGGCAGCTCTTTGACGCTGCTCATGATATTGATGTGCGCTGGTCTTAATGATGTTGAACCTCTGCTGTTTGATCTAAGTTCGATAACAATCAAATGTCATTTCTGCCAAGGTCCTCCATTTTAAGATGAGATATAAGATTCAGATCTTTGTTCAGGGTCCCTGGGGATATTTGAACATGTTTTAAATCCCTAGGGAATGAATACATTGATCCAAAGATATGGCCTTTACTGGTGTTTGCATGTAAACATCTCAAAATGGTTAAGGTAACGTCGTCAAAAAGGAAAAACAAACACCTCTTACAGATCTGGATGGTGGGAAATTGCTTGTAAACTTGACCTTGAATTAAATGTTTAGTGGCATTTCAAAGTCTTGTGAATTAATCTATCTGAACATACAGCTGGAATTGGTGTTAAAATGTCCTCAATCAGTGTTTCAAATGTTTAGATGAACTTAACACTAAGAAAGGGGGAAAGGGATTTGCTGATGTTGAATTTTTAAATCACATACAGTTGGTTACAACTTTGAGAAAATATCATATTTAATCGAAAGCATCTCGCATATACAAACGGCGGAAAACAGCAAGTAATATTGGTGTCATATTTAATTTTAGTGGCATTAAAAAAGCCTTGAAAATCTAACTTGCCTAAGCTTGAATCATAATCGAATACTTCCTCCATTTTAGAATACAATCAAAAAGATAGTACAATCAAAAGGAATACAAATAAATATATAGACAGAAGTTAAAGTCAAATGTCCAATAAAAGATTGAAACATTTGTGTATTTATTTATTTGTTTAATCCACACATGGCAGTTATTTAAAACAAAACATGTACACTTATACTGGTTGATTGTTTGTATAGCGCACGGTGGAAAGGAGCAGGGAGAAGAACATCTTAGTTGACCTGCCCCGTCTTTAAAAAAATAACTACACAAAAAAATGAAATAACCTTAAAAAAGTAAAAATAAAAGCAATATTCTTTCAGTCGCAGTTGCTTACAAATACTGAAACATAAAACCAGTAATACAAAACCTGTAGGATCCCGTTTTGGTTCCCCTCTAGACCTTTTGTTTGTTTAAATATTCCCACGTGACTCCCGGTGATGTCAGCAGCTCATTTCCTGCCTTCAGTGAGGAGAGATCACACCGGCTCTGATAGGGTGGCAAAGTTTAGTGAGTGGCAAACACAGAATACTTTAGAGCAAGAAACTCCAAATAAAATCCTGAATTATTGAAACCGTGTGCTGTCACAAATCCATTTACTTTAATCAAATCAAATTTTATTTCTATAGCACATTTAAAAACGATTTTCGGTCGGGCCAAAGTGCTGCACATGCAGATAATAAATAACACATTCCTACCGATGTAAACAGAAGACAATAAATTACAACATCAAATATAAAAATCGAACTCAGGGAAGTGTCATGAGTCGTGCTCTGCTCTGATTAGAAGGCCAGGGTGAAGAAGTGAGTTTTTAGTTTAGATTTAAAAACCCCTAGGGTCTGGGCCGACCTCACATGGAGGGGCAGAGTGTTCCAGAGCCTAGGGCCAGCCGCCGCGAAGGCTCGGTGCCCTCTGGTTTTTAGGTTTTAGGCACTACCAGTAGCAGCTGGTCAGCAGACCTTAAGGCTCTGGCTGGGGTGTAGCGCTGGAGGAGTTCAGCTATATAGGCCGGAGCCCATTTAGTGCTTTAAAAACAAATAAAAGGATTTTAAAATCAATTCGGAACAGAATTGGAAGCCAGTGTAGGGAGGCCAGAATTGGGGTGATGTGGTCACGCTTTTTGTGGCCGGTGAGGAGACGTGCCGCTGCGTTAATAAAGATGTAAAAGGAAGTTAGAGCTGATAATAATAAAATGTTCCAGATGCTCAAAGCGCTTTACAAATACACAAATATCATACACGTAACGGTCATGTAGGCTACTGTGGACAATGCCCAGCAAATTCAGGTGAAGTGTCTTGCCCAAGGAAACAACGGCTTTGCAGACGCAGCGGGTTTCGTACTGGTGATCCCCAACGCCCCCTTGATCCTATGATCAACGCACAGCTCACTGCGCCACTCCGCCCATCTTCACACCTCGAAGTCATCAAGGCGCTTTGGAAGTACACATTACACACATATCATACATGTAACGGTCATGTGCTGTGGACAGTATCCACAGGAGCAACTTCGGGTGACGTGTCTTGCCCAAGGACACAACGGCCTGACGCAGTGGCGGCGCCGGCGGGTTTCGAACCGGAGTTCCCCAACGCCACCCTTGATCTGATGATCAACGCACAGCCAACTGCGCCACTCCGATCATTCGTGAGACTGGAGGATGTTTTTAGAATTAAGAATATCGATAAGTCAGAGGGAAAAAAACAACTACAGAGGCTTTAAATAGACGTGCAAATGTTCCATATTTAGCCACGAATTAACCAACTTTTCCCCAGAAACATTTGGAGTTGAATTGCAAGAGTCAAGGTCGTACTGCTGGTAGAAGAGACTTTATTTGTCCCTGCGTCGTTTAAATCTTCTGAATGAACTGTCTTAAAGAGAGTCTTAAATGAGGATGCTGTTCAAGCTGTTTTTGAGTTTCAAATGAGACTTAGACAATTGAAATAGACAATTATCTCGTGAACTTCTCCCGTGTTTTAATTTTGGAAAGTAGAAGTCTTAAGATGTTTTTAAAGGTCGTTCTTTACCATGTATAGTTGTCTGTGGTAATTCAAATTATACTTGACTGGGTCTACTTGTGTAATGTACAGTGAGTTTATCAGACAAGTATCCTGGAGTGTGTGTGAGAGTGAGCGTGAGTGTGTGTGAGTGTTCGTGATGTTTCTCACGTGAGGAATGAGTCGACTCTTCCCCAGGTTTGACCAGACAGGAACAGC